GAGGGATTAGCAAAGACAATTTTTGAATATTGTGTCATCGTAATGTGTTTTCTTGCTACTGGTCCTATCAAGACTAACAAAATAAATGCTGTGGTATAGTCACGCCTGGGTAAGACAAAGACCTGACCCCACTGCACCCTGGAAGCTACTGTCCCACACAGATCACCAGGGACCTGAACAGTTAGCTTGCCTCTGTACAAGGCAAGAACTTTCTACCGAGTTCCTAACTACTATGGTTAACTTATCTACTGCTAGTATGCAATACATATGCAGACTAGTAATTCCCAAACTGATGTAACACTTAGGACAGTGAAGCCCTACAGATTGGCTAAAATTACACACAAATCATCTTCTTGTTCCTTTAAGAATACTAAGTAAATAGGCAAGAAATATGCTAACAGTCATTCAATTTAGTGAGCCTGTGTGTATGCTTTTAATATGGATCACAGCCAGTTTTCTACACAAAAAGACATCGACAGTTTTAATCAAAATACAGCAGGTTTAAAGAGGTTAATTTTTAAACTCTTTAAATAACATGCAGAATACTCAACAACTCTCAGCTGCTCAAAAGCAGTAATTGCCAATTTTTTTTTTTTCAACATAAATCAGTTGGAGAGTGGGAAGAATTAAGTAACTGTTCAAAGGCAAACAGCATCTAATTATATTATTTAGGTTTCTACCTATACGTGGTCTTGGAGTCCAGTCACTAGAACTTGCATGCGAAGCTCTGTCATCTTCATCACTGTCACAAGAGTGAAAACCATTGGCTATGATTTCATCACTAAAAAGGAAGTTATCTGCAAGACAGCACAACAATGTTAGATGGGTTACACTAGAGCTAAATTGCACAGGTATATATTTAAATGCATCACAAACCCTAAAATTGTACATATTTAAATACATCACAAACCCTAAAATTGTATGCTATAAAATCTGATTGCAATGAATTATAAATAAGCAGTTTTGTCACATGGGAAATTTCTGGGGTTTTTTTTGTTTGTTTGGTTTTTTAAACTTTATAGCTATGCTTTCAAGCCTTCAATAGATTTACAGCAGGATTTGCTATCTTAATATTGGGCTTTAGTGGGCTGGATGTTGACCATAGTGAAATTTTCACAAGTGTTGGGCATTAAAGATTTTGTATTTTAGAAAAAATCCAGATGTTTTAAAGGTACAATTAAAAATTATCTTCTCTTACAAATTCTCACTTCAGCTGAGAAACTGGATAAAATGAAAATGCATCACTATTTATAGACCAGTCTATGATTAGGTTTTAAGAGCACAGTGTTTTATAAAAGCCCACAAATACACATTTGGATACAACGAAGTTAGAATTTTGTTAGGTGGTTACCTTGCAGCTGAGCTGCAATAGGTGACCACATATGCACTTTTATGATATTTCAGTTATGACAGAAAATGTGCTACCTTGAACCACCTTCACTTTATCTCATCCAGTTTACTCTGCAGCTGGGTTTGGCTTAGACTACCACAGTTACTTCAGCTCAGCTCATGGCCTTAAGCCAGAGTAACTCAATCTAACTTCATCACGTATCTAGATGGAGGAGCCCAAAGAAGAATGAAATACTTGTCTTACAGCATGCATTACTAAGCTAACATTTAAGGGGAAATCTAAATTTTAACCTGAGCAGCTTATCAGAATTTAGACTACTAAGATTTTTTAATTGGCTTTATTAGAAATAGCAACATCAGCTTAATTTTTTTAAAAGCTAAAATGATGAATAAAGGAGAACAAGTTTCAGTAAGGCTCTCTAAAGCAAAGAATCACTATAATAGTTTTCAACTTCTATTTGAATAAGCCCCTACAATATTTTAACTAGGTTACCTCACTTTACTCTTAAATAAAGAACAGCACAAAAGACCTTTAGTTTTTAGTCTTTTCTGTTGCTGGTATAAACACTTTATTCTGGTTAGAATGAAAAGAGGTGTAGGTCAGAAATTTGCATTTTGTACTTGCTGTCTTGTTCTTCTGAGACCACAGGTATTCACTGACGCTGCTGTTTCTTATTATTAACCTATTCATTTACAGCGTATCAGTTCCATCTCATTATGCACGAAGTCAGTGAACATACTATGCAAAAGGCATTACTAAGAAAAAAGTTGACTGGTACACATCAGTAAGTGTGAAGTGCAAGATTTACTAAAATAATGTTTATGTCTACTGTATAAAGAAACAAAGGTTACAGTGTTAAAGACTCATCACATACAGGTCTGGTTGTCTTGTATTTAAAAAACGCTGTGACAGATACATGCAGGCTAAAACAACAGCTTAAATAGTAACACTCCCTATGTATCCATTTGGTTCTTCAAAGGTCTTAAAGGGAATGCTTGCCAGAACTAAGCAATACACAGCAAAACATGCCTGAGGATCTGAGTAATGAGCAAAACCGCTTCATACAGGGCACTGATAAGAGATCATTAGCTTTACTCTTGGTCTGTTCCAATGAAGTTTTTAAATACCAAGGCTGTCCAAGCTTATCATACAGCTCTGTTCCCTCTGGGATTACTTTTGCACAGGCAAAGAATTTCTGTAGAATTTTAGTATTGAGTTAAAGGTAAAATATCTTCTAACTGCATTCTAGAATAAAATATAAAGACTTTACTAGCAGAATGCAGCATCTCAGATCTTTCGAAGTCCTTCCAAAGCACTAACTTAAAAACCAAAATGAGCAAACCCTATCCATTTCAATAATGCAATGCAAGGTAAGTTCATTTTGATACTGCCCAAACAATATGCTTCTAACATGATCTGCAAAGAAACTCTTTCAGAAGATTATAGTTTAGTTTTGTGCTGCAATCACTGAAATCTTAACTAAAACTGTAACTTGAAGTTATGTAAAAACTTGTTCAAGACCGCTGCTCCTGTGCTTTCTGTGCAAGTCGATTGTGAAAAGGTAACAGAGCTTATGATTGCAACACAGCAAAATAAATGTTTTCAGAAATAAGAGCCAAATCGATCTCCTTCTGTGAAGAAGCATCTCCTTCTCCAAAGCCACCCACAAAAAATAACAGGCTTTGACAAGGACTGACGAGAATTAGAACTGATAGGGTTTAGAAAAATGGATGCAGCAGCTCGCTCGAGTTTGCGTTCCATGTGCGGTTCTGGAGATGTACGGAGCACAACGTATATGCAGGGATCACCCCGCGAGCAGCGCCCACGAGTAGCGGCGCTCTCTCTCCCCCTAGACCGGGTCAGACCAGAGCTAGCCCCGGGGTGCAGCAGGTGAACACCGACCTTCCCTGCGAGCGACACGGCCCCCGGGCCAACGCTAGGCGGGAAAGCCCGGGTGGCTACTGCGGAGAGGCGCCCGCGGGGAGCCCCAGCGCAGAGCCGGCACCAAGTACCAGCGTAAGGTGGAGGGAGCCCGCCGCCGCGGCCGCCGCCTTTCCCGACGTGGGCTGCGCGGCCGGGCCGCTCCCTGACGGCTGCGAGAGGCCGGCCCGCGGCCTGTGCCAGCGGGCCAAGCGGAGGAGGGGAAAGATGGGGTCCTCACCGGGATGCAGGGCCGTCGCTTCGGCCGCCCCGTTTGAACACTGCGCCCGCCTGCAGCCAATGGCCGCCTCCGCCGCGTCTTCGCCGGGCACCGCCTCCGCCCCCTCCCCCCGGCCCCGCTGCCGCGGAGGCGGCTCCGCCCGGGGCAGGCCCCGTAACCCGGCCCTATTGTCCGCGCCGCTCCAGACCGCCGCCACCTCTTCGTCCTGTTCCTCCTCCGTCCGTCCGCCGCCATCGGCGGTAACGGCAGCCGCCTCACCCGGCAGCTCCGCCGCCACAGCGGTGGCGGGCGGCGGCCCCGCGCCCCGGTCCGGGCGTTGGGCGTACGCCGCGCCCCGCCCGCAGCCATCGTCTCCCAAGTCCAGGCGCTGGCGCTTCAGAGCGGGCTCGACGCTCTCGGCCGCGCCGCCGGGGCCGCAGTCGCGCGGACGGAGGAGCGGAATCTCGTCGTCCGCCATCTTGGAGTAGCAACCGCCGCCCCCCTCCCGCCCGGCGCAGCAGCGCAAGCAGCGCCTCCGCCACAGCCCCCTCCCCCACCCCAGGGAGCGATTTAAACCCGGCACGTGACCGCGCCACCGCCCACGCGGGCACCCGCCCCGCGGAGGCAGCAACAACAACAAACCGGATCACGTGAGCGGGACGTAGGGGGCGGGGCGCTGCCGCCGTCACCTGACGCTCGTGCCAGCTCCACCCTCGCGTGGCAGGGTGCTGTGCCTCCCCTTCGTGGCATGGCGGCTTCTCGTCACGTGGCCGCATGTTTCCGTGCTGAGCCTCGCCCACTAGGGGGCAGGGCGGGGCGCCGCAGCCGCTGAGGGAACGTCACGGGCCGGGCCGGGTCTGGGGGCCCCGGCTGTCACCTCGTAGCGCCGCCGCCTTTTCCTTGTTGCAGTATGTTGTTCACTGGCGGGGCAGCTGCAGCCTGCGGAGGGGTGACCGGCTACGGCGGGGAGGGGGAGTCCTGTCCATGTGGAGCTTGTTCGTGACGTCGTTCCCCCACCCCCCACCCCGCACGCTCAGCCCGCAGTGAGCTCCGCTGCTGGGACGCTCCTGACAAATGGCGGTCGCGGCTTGGCCGTGGGTCTCGGTAGTGTTCTTGTCACAAGCTGTTTGAGAACCCTCCGGGCCTCTCTGTCCTGTATTCACAGTATCAGGGAACGCGTCTTCCCGAGGAACAAACGCGTTGCTTGGCGCAGGCTTCAGGCTGTGGAGGCGCTCTGTTGGGCTGCCGTGTATCTGTACAGCACTTGATGAGGTGGAACCCGCCGGGGAAGCTCGTACGAGTCTCCCCGTGAGCTCGTTTGCCAGTCGGGCCGCGTTACCGAGAGTGTCATAGCGGCTCTTCCCTTTCTGTAAACAGAGCTGGGGGTAGACAGCAGTGATAGCTTCTGCTGACGACATCGCTGTGTCTGCGGACTGCCTGGGAAAGGTTTTGCACCTACAGGTTAAGCTTTTTGGTAGGGATGTTTAAACCTGTTGCAACGGTTTGGACTCCATGAACTACAGGAAGCCTTTTTAGGGGAGCGGGGGGCTGAGCAGTCTTCTGAACAACCGCAGGATGAGTCTACATAATGTGTGAGAAACCCGATGGCAAATTGTGAGAGTTGGGATTTGCTCTAATGTCATTCACAAATTTGTTTTTTTCACATCAGCGTTCCCTGGTGGGATGTGCACTACAGTAGCTGTGGCGACCTGTGGTTTTCTAGTGATCTGTTGTGTAAATTGTAGAGACAATCCTTAGTGGCTGACCTTGATGCTGACTTGTGGACCACCACCAAATGTGAAATACGGAGGTACTACACGTGGGCTTTCTTACACATAGTGTCTCTTTCTACCTTGAAGTCTTGTCAGGATAGAACTTGGCCAATTCCCCAGGGCTTTTACCAACACAGAATTTTTATATAAACTTAATGGATATAAATTTAATAGTTGTGTTTAATGGTACTGCTTAACATCACAGACTACTTGCAGAACCATTTCAGTGAATTTAATACAACTGAATCACTAAGTTTAACTGGCATGACCAAGATTATACAAGTAGAATCTCTCCCTTGCAGGCCTTGATAACAACAGCTTTTAAAACCCTTAAATTAGAAAATATTGTGATGTGTCTTTTTGGCTTAAAAACGTATTTATAGATAACTTTATATGTGGTATATGTATTGGGGGTACTTTTTTTTTTCCTGGTTCTTTCAGATATTAACAACCCCCAAAAAGATGTACATGCTATTTCTTACGCTCTTTCTCAAAAACTAGATATAAAGTAACCAGATGTGAATCAGAACATTTTTATTATTCTGTGTGAGTTTGTATGCAAACATTCTTTCTCCTTATTGAGGTAGAGGGTTGATTCAGATTTCTTAAAAATCATGTGGAAGATGGTTTGTCAGCATGCAAAGGAGAGTTGTAACTTAAATAAGCACCAAATAATGTGAAGACTGCATTCTAAGGAAGAAATGAGTAAGTCATACAGTGTATGATCTGAAACTTTCTGAGAAGGTATTGGTGAGAAACTGATTCAAGGATGTTAAAGTTGACTGTAATACTGAAAGCATTTGTACATGTTAATGTTGTTGTTGCAGTAGTTACCCCTAAATTGGGAAGTCAGTTTGGTAGGGCTTAGGTCCTCTGTTATTTCTGCAACTTGGAGCATGTGTGGGGACAGAGAGGGAGAATGAAATGCAAAATTTGAGTTATGTCTTGAATTTCTTGAAAATGTGTACTTTACCCTCAGAAAGCAGAACAACTGAAGTCAGTTAAGAAGAATGGGTACTGGAAGATTTGATGTATTTTAAAGGAATAAATCCAAATAGAGATTTTCAGATCTTGCTGATTTATTTAAAGGGCCATTTATGACTTTCATGAGTTGATGGTAAACCTCCAGTTACACTGAACCAGAATTTAGTTTCACTCTTGGCTCTAAACAAGCAAAAATATTGATAATGTGTTAAGAATGAATGGAAATGTTTTGTTTGTGGTTAGGTACACAGAACATTTCCTCACTTTCAGTACTGTTTGTACGTTCTGAGCAAAACTAACCAAAGCATGTGTAGCCACAGGAGCTGTGCCATCTTCTGCACTGTAATTCTCTTTCAAATAAATAAAGCTGTGTGTCCCAAAGGCAGTTTTTGTATTTTTCTGTGTATTATGTACAGGTTCTCTTGCTCTAATTTTTTTTTTTTTTTTTGAAGGATGCTGTCAATTGTCCCACTGAAGTTGATAGGAGCAGTAAAAAATTTACTATTCAGTATCAGTACTTTATGACCCTCATACACAAACTCTCAGACTGCACTATGGGACCCTTTGTGCCCCAGGCACTGGAAATCTTGGGGTGGCATGTGTGTGAGGTGAGGGGGCACAAGTATGGTCACTGCTGCAGTTTGGATCAAAGCTCTTGTTTATTTGGTCTGAACAGACAGAAATGTACAGACTATACCAAGGCTTCAGTGAGCAAATTCCCGGTGAACAAGCAGCTTCCAAATCTCAGGGTTTTATTGTCCAAATTCAGCTCTTGGACCTGCAGTTCACCTTGTAGCACAGCAACAGGCCCTGAAAGCTGGAGGGAGAAAGGGTTAAAGAGCCTTCCCTTTCACCTTAGGCAAATATGCAAGAAGTACTTGGACAAGAACAGTATGTCAGGAGTGCAGCTGGGAAGAGGGAGAGCTGTTTGTTTTTTATCCTCCCCCAGAGTACAATCTATTTAAATATTTACATGGTCTCTTGCTAAAAGGCTTCCTGTCCTATACTTTTCTGGTTTACTATTAAGTTATGAATGGGGGAGAGGAAAAGATTTGTAATTGGTAATTCCTCCACTTTGAAAAAGTGTAGTTATTCTATTTACTCAGAGAAATATGGTAGTAGTAATTTTTAAACACATTTAAATGGTTTCATTGAAGCTTGTGCTCTGCTGTTGAATATCATTTCTTCTTTTCATGTACTTTATATATTTTATAATCTTAATAGGCTATCTGAACATACAGTAAAAATAGGAAATTTCAGATGATACAACCTTTCAGAGAAAGCAGTGGAACACTAATATGTAGGTAGTTTCAGAAGATTAATAATCTAGATAACATAAAGAACTTGTAAATGCAAGAATTATATATTCAGTATCTTATAAACAGTTATGAATAGGCAGTAGGTCCTTCACTGATGAACACGTTAGTTCTAGCATTGGTCACACCCTGTGTGTCTGTTCTGCATAGACTCGTCTGCTAGGTCATGGCATCTAAAATTGTGAAACTATTCAAGGCATCTGTGTTAGTTTACAGAATCAGTGGTATTTAATGATGTGAAACATATTGGATTACAAAGCTCTTGCAAGGGTGGAAAAGTAAAACCAGAGCTCCTTAGGGTCCAGAGGAAAGACTTCAGCAAGTGGTTAGTATTACACCTAGGAAAGGTTGATTTAAAATCAGCAGATCATAGGAGACAGTATGGTTAACCACGTCTATAGTCTTTGTTGGACTGAGGCCTTGATTGTTACTCGTGGGTCAAAATTAAAGGTATTTCACTTCAACATAAAATGAGTTTTATAAGGAATGTACTTTTCACACCATACAGACTTTCAAGACATAATTTGAATGTAATTTAGCATGAGAAGGAGTCTGTTTAATTTGATAGTAATAAGTATTTCATGTTGTCTTTTCATAGTCATAATTTTGTCAGATTTGTAACTGATATACCAGAGCTGTTTGGTTTTGAAGAGCGCTATGCATGTATCCTAGGTAGCCTTCAAAGAGTAAAAATGAAGTGACTGACAGAACTTTGAGAGGCTTTGGCAAGGTTGGTACAAAAGTTTGGGGCCCTTTAATTATTAATTTGGAAGCAATCCTTACTTTGTTGTATAATTACATATATAATCCCCTTGTGAAAGACTGTGGCAAAATCTGAAATTAAAAATTAAGCAGAAAATGTATTTTATCATACATAGGTTGAGGTGCAGGAAAGCCCATCAGTATGTGCCTGATTTTAAGTTGCTGTACACATGATGGTGTGATCTAAATCTCAAATACAGTTAGATTTTACTTAGTATTCAAAACTCCCTTCAGTCTGGATAAGACCTGCAGTTGAAGTGACCTTGGCAACTACAAATCCCAGGGAGCACTGCTTTTAGCAGGTTTGTGCAACCGGATTGGCATCCTGCAGGGACCAATGGCAAGCCGAGAATTCAAGAAAATTCTTGTGTGTCAGCTGCCAGCATTAAAATTGACTGGAGAGAACTGCAGACTTGGGTGGAAGCTGTGTTTTCCCTCAGGCTACCTGTATCTCACCCTTGTGTGAGCTTTGTAGTGATATTCTGGTTTACACTCTCCGTGCCTGGGTTGAAAAAGCCTGCTGGACTAGTCCAGATGGACGCAATTCTGAACTGCAGACCGGATGACTTGGAAGATTACTACAATCTGCTAGAATGTGATGAACTGTCTACGGTAAGAGCCTTCCCCACTGCCCTCCCGGCTAATATTTTAAGTGTGCTTATTTATCTACAGGGGGGATTTGGAGTTATGTCTACAGACAGGACTATCTGAAATGCATTATGAACCTTCTTGTTGCTTTTAGTATCTCCCTTTGTGAAGCTCAATTTTCTGATCTGCATACTGATGTTAAGATCCTAGAACAAAGCTCAAAAGTGTCCTATAAAGCTGGATTGTAGTATAGGTATAGCTGAAATAATAATTTGTTCATTAGTTTAGTTCAGCATGTGATATGGTTATGAATCATGAGCCAACTGCTTAAATTTGACAACATCCAAGTAACTTTTTTTTTAATTTATTTTTTTTTGTTTTAAAAGTTGCAGCTAATAAGAATGAATGTTCATAGGTGTAGGTAACTGATAATGCTATTGAGTTTCTCGAGTTAATATGCCTGTTTTAAAATTAAAAAAACCCTTGTATTCATTGGTTGGAAAACAAAAAATAATACCTTATTAATAAATGCTAATTTTAATAATATTTTGGTAGCAGATACATACTTCGTAATGAGACCTAGCTAAGCAATTGTTAAACATTTTGTAGCTAAACCAACTGGAGTTTTTTCCCAAAGGCGCCTCTATAATCTTTTTGATAGTCTAAGTTAGAGGTACGCTAATATTTTTTAATCTAGTTGTTATATTAACTGAAATTTGTGTTTCAATTTTGGAATTTTGGAAGAGTTTGGATTAATGAAGGATGTATTCACTGTGGATAAAAGTTGTATTTTGCTCAGAAAATTTAAGCTGATGCTCGCATCTGTCGTAGTGGTCAAATGCTGGGAAAATATCTCTGTCATTTCTATTACTAAAAGCATACTAATAAGTATCTTTGATCTGTTATGGAAGGCAATTTAAAGCTTTTCCTGAGATAACTCCTAAAAAGTAATCCCAGCAGAGGGCGGCGTTAAAGTTTCAGCGCAGGCTTGTTCGCAGATGCTATTTCTTAATTTTCTACCTCGCACTAATTCCTTAAGGGCTTAGCAATTAATGAGTAGTTCAGGTACATGTGATGATGATTTTTCAAATTGCTTAAAATTAAATTAAATTAAAATGATGGAATAAATGCTAATAGGTCTTGAAAAATAATCTGTTGAGTATTATTTATTAAGAGAAGCAGCAGATGTTGCTAAATTATTTTTGACATGGGAGTAGGAACTCAGATCATGAGTTGACTGAATACCACGATTGCCTGCCTTCAGGATGGTGCACACTACTTTTAACATCTAACAGAAATCTGAAGCATTACAGGTGCTTTGGAATCACATTACTTTGCATATGTGGTCAAGTATTTGTAGCAACACATGCTTCTTTAGGCATATACAGCACATTCCCAGCTGAGTATTTTCATCTGACCTCCTGAATATTCTCGTCTTGATCTGATTAAATTTAAGCACAAATATTCTCAATTTCTAAAGATTTTGCCTGTGTTCAAGTAAACACCCATGTTCATCCTTGGCTTCTTGTAGAATTGAGCACAGGAACACCTAATTCATCTTCTGATTTGAGAGGAACAGGGGAGATTTAAGCTACATCCTTCTTCCACAAACAGTTTTATTCATATATAGTGTGTATTAGACACCTTTCTTGGCAAAACATCTCACTGAATCTTTTAGATAAATTTCATATATTTTGTATAAACTTTTATATGTACTGATTTTTTTTTTTTAAACTGAAGTCATCCACACTATACCTCCACTATTGCACATATTTTAGCTTTCCAGTTCCCCTCTATATAACCATTTTTTTTGCCTGTACTAAAGTTTGTAAAAATGAATAGGAAAGAGTATTTCAGCATTCTTTGTTGTTCCTCTCAACCCCTTTCAAAAGGCAAATTTGAAAATAGTTTCTGTGTTGTATGTATTTACTCACTTTAAGTCTCACCGTTGTGTTTAGGTTGAACAAATTCTTGCAGAATTTAAGATTAAAGCCCTTGAATGTCATCCTGACAAACATCCTGGAAACCCCAAAGCAGGTATGTATTCTTCCTCCTTAAAAACAATCTATTTTCTTTTTTCTTATTGTAACATGACTAAGATGTTAAATTCAGCTTTAAAACTTTATTATTATTTTCCCCCAATATAATTTAATTATCAGGTGTATTGAGCATACTGTTTTTAAATAGCAAGCTTTAATATTAATTTCTAACACTTGCACACTCCTAGACACTAGAGCAGGAAGGCACTTTTTTTTTTCCATAAGACTTCCAATTTTTTTTTCATTCTATGGCAAAACATCTTTTAATCCAGAAAATATTTATGGAACGTACCCTTTTCTAGTCCTGTAAAGTTGGCTTGCTTCCATGCTCAGTGGCATTCAAGTGCCATACTTGCGTCAACTAGTTAATTTGCTTCCATGAACAAGCCCATCAGGAACACATTAAATGTACTTTAGTTTCTTTTGATGTAATTTAATGACTTGAAATAAAGAGAAACCAGCACCAGATGAGTAGCCATCTGTTTGCCGAACAGCAGCTAGCATTTGTGTTTATGAAAGTGTGCAGTTCATCGTACATGTGACAGCTAAGCAGCACCTAAGTTATTTGGAGGCAATCTTACTGGATTCATAACCACAAGATAGCTGTAATCAGTGCTCACTAATATCTGAATAGTTTATATTCTTATAGTAAAGGTGGTTCTGATCATATTTATGATTCCCACCAGAAATTTGATGTAGAATAATTAAATATACTTCTTATTTTGAGTAATGCATAAAGGTTTTCCTTTGGATTCTTCCTATTAGTTTTAAGCTGAACAACTTACATATAAACTGAACATCATAGCTTACCTACTTGTTTGAGTTTGACCTCATCCCCACTCTCCTCTGAAGCAGCAGAGCTGCGAATAGAGTAGATGTTAAATGAGACTCGTACTCCACTGCCTTGAGCTGAGCTCTCAGCAGGGCTTGGCTTTCCTTATTGATGTGCTGTCCTAGCCTAGAATCAGAAAGCTGATGGGATAGAGAGGTTAAACGGTGAAATAGGTGGGGGCTTTCAGAATGCCTTACAAGGAAACCCTGAGATTTGGTGTTTGGGAGGTGATCTACCACCTAATAACAGTAACCTGGTAAGTAATCATTTATTATAAATGATTTCACAAGTACCAAGGAAACCAATGGAATCAACCTTGTCTGCTGGAAATTTTGGCTGTTGCAGCAGGGAAGCAAGAGACTATTCCAGTGCATGGTCCTGTTCTGTTTGCACCACCCCACAGTCCATGTGGTTCACGCCATCACCACCCACAATTAATTGAAGTAACTGAAAGAAAGAGTCCAAGTGACAAATGTTAGAGCAGCCTTGTTTGACGAGAAATGTTGTGTTCCATTTACCTGAACATGCTGTATTTATTTGAAATAACTTTTTACAGCAGTAGTGAAAGTTTACTTTTTATTGTTTATTTCATCATCTTAAAGTTCAGTAAAGAGTAATTAAAGTAGATCTCTTATTTCTTGAAAAGTAGTAACACTAGAAAGAAGAAACCTAATAGAACTGCCCCCTTAACCTGTTGTTTGATTTATAGTTATCAATTTTGATTAGCATTTGGGCTTAGTGTATTTCAAAAGAAATCTCTCTAATTTGTAGACTGGAATAAATGAATAGTAATAATAATAGATCACTGTAATACAGGTGACTCATAGATAAAATCTAAGTCTTTATAGCCCTTCTACAAATAGTAACATGCAGCTGCATCCTTAGTAACCATTTAATGACAAATTACTCTGTAGGGAAAAAAAAATAGCTCTCATTCATGCAGCCTGATATTCAGGACAGCATTTTAGTATATGTAGAAAACATCTAATAAAATGCACAAGTTATTTAAATTATATTTCGATTTCTCTTCTTGTTTGTCAATTTTCGCTTGTGTGCTGTGCCCCATCCTGTCCCCTTTCCCCCACTTATGTTTTTTCTTGGTGGTGTGCTTTGCTCTAACTTCCTTGCTGCTGTCGATGTAAGCATGTTTCTTCTAAGCATTCTGACTGGTTTAATTTTCTTTTTAAAGGAAGTCTGAAGGGGGCGAGTTGTGCCTTTTGCCTGCTGTAAGTTTCTCTGGACTTTAAATTTAGGAGATTTTGAAGATGGTAGACAAATGAGCATTTTAATCCTCATTTCATAGAATCATAGAATAGGTAGGGTTGGAATGGACCCCAAGGTCATCCACTTCCAACCCCACGCCATGGGCAGGGACACCCCACACCAAACCATACCACCCAAGGCTTTGTCCACCTCGGCCCCAAACACCGCCAGGGATGGAGTGCTTACAACCTCCCTGGGCAACCCACTCCAGTGCCTCATTTGAAAAGTGTATCAGTTGTCCACCAAAGGTGCTATGATCCTAAAGTCAGCTAAACTGTGCAAAGTTGTAAGCAGAACAACCACACACATACCTTTGTGATTTAGTTCTTGTGCCTCGTTTACTCTGCTTGCTCTAAGCCTTTGTTGGCAGCTCCCCTTTCACATCTGAATTAATTTATTTGAAAAGAAGTACTGACTTCAGTATCATTTTGGTTTTTGTTCTAGTGGAGAATTTTCAGAAGCTGCAGCAAGCTAAGGAAATTCTTACTAATGAAGAGAGTCGAGCGCGTTACGATTACTGGCGACGAAGCAAAATTACCATTCCATTCCAGCAGTGGGAGGCCTTGAGCAATTCTGTGAAAACGGTTCGTGGTGTGTTAAGTCTGGGCCTTCAGGAGCAGGGGGAGGTAGGACTGGTCCAGAGAAAATGCAGCAGTGAGTGGGGGTTTAACTTGAGGGTTAAGCAACTTAAGGGTTAAACACTTCAGCACACTTTGCTTTTGTAGGACCCTTTTATTATTTTAAAAATTAAAGCTAGGACCTGTGTATAATATATTCTCCTTCTGGTATGTTGCTTATCAGATGGGTTTTCATGCTGTGTGATGAAATAAAGAGCTCATTGAAAAATCTAGGTTCCCTGGAACCCTGGGCTTCATACACGTCTTTGGAGGGGCCCTGCTAGGCTAATGGGGTGATTTGTGACAAGCAAGTGTTCTGATGGTTGTTTACCCTCCTAATTCTGTTAGTGAATTAATGTGGTGGCATGTTCCTATTAGATCCTAATTATGTAATGTTTGATTATTTTTTTTTTCCTTCCTTATGAGGGTGAATGGTAGCTACAAGTCTGCATGGTCATATTTTAGGGCAGGTGAATATGTACTCATATTGCCAGTTCTGCCCACCTCAGTTCTGCTTATGAGAGAAGCTTGAGAGCCTCTTCAACTAAAGCATTATGCCTAAGTTTAAATGTTTGCTCAAAATATCCTATCAAGCTTATTTCAGTTCCAAATAGAAATAATTCCACAGACTTCAATAGTGAATCTTTCCAAATCATCTTGTTTTCAAAAGGTACCTTAAAGTCAAAGACAGCTTTGAAAACAGACATTTCTAAGTCACTCTAGCCCTCTTTAAAAAGCGTCTAAAGACATGAGAGAAGAAACTGATCAAAACACCCTTGGAATTATTTGGTGCACTTGTACTTTGTTCTTCGTCCCCTGACGTAAACTATCCTCTCAAATGCTGTTTCTGTAATTAGCTGTGCTTTCCTCTATCCTATTGTCCTGCAAGTTTCTCTGTAATATATGCTTTGTTTGACCATTCATTACAACAGTGTAAAAAAGAAAAGAGAAGTTCACTAAAAATCTTTTAAAGCATAGTAGTTTGTTCTTTATTCGTAATTTTTGCATTTCTTTAGTCAATGCATTGGGCTGTCCAAAATAAGAAGGACCAAATGCTGGAAGCTCCTGGCTCGAATAATAGCAGCATCGTAACTAGTGAGATTTGGACCCAAAAGACTGAAAACAGTGAAGAAGGACTGTCAGATGGGAACAAGGAGCAAGATGATGTTGCAATTCCTGATGGGAAACCACAGTCTTCAAAGAATCCAGACTCCCCAAGTAAGTGAAACCAGAAGTTAGAGAAAACTGCATTATCCAGGAATTGGCCCGAAAAGCAGGCTTTGTCATGAGAATTCTTCTCCAGAATAATATGTTTAACTGGTAGCTTTTTTAATGTGGGTTTGGGTTGGGATTTTGTTTTGGGTTTTACATTGTTTATTATTTATTTAACTTTGAAGCTTTCAGACCTTTCTTCCTCCCTACCCCATGTTTTTTTGCTTGATTGCTAGTAAACCCCAAAACTGGAGAAGAAAAAAATTAAACCAAAATGGAAAGTTCAGTTTTACTGCTGTATCAAAATAAAAAAAAAAAAGAAAGGAGGGGGTGGAGGAGGGGAATTATTTTCAGTGATTTTATTTAAAATAACTTTAAAAACTGTTAAAATATTTAGGTATTTTGCTTTTTTTTTTTATGCGTCATTCAGTGTTTCTGCACAGTTTGCACCTGACGACTTAATGAGGACTAAAAATTGAGAGTTGAAGGTTTCTTTTCCCTTTGAACAGTTTGTTTTTAAATAGTGCATGCAGCAGGATAAATGTGTATTTTAAAAGCTGTCATTTGACCATTTCCTGTCTGCTGCTTAGGTTTGTATGCTTGAATCAAAGTTTACTTACCACAATGGCCACCCTTTGTTCTGCTTGATTCTTCAGGGGTTTTATAACCTTAGGCTTATGTTATTAGAGAACTACTATTAAACAAAGTTCTGTAATTTCTTCCAAGCTTGGTCAAACAGGAAATTATGTTGAACTATGAGGATAGCAAAACCTGACTGAATCCCAAACATGGGTGGAATGCAGAAAATAGATAAGAAAATTGTACAAACGTATGTGAAGCGCAACTGAAAATTTTATATTTTAAAAATATGCTTTATGACATTATACTATTGGCTATTTTTTGGTAATGAAATTGTCACTATATCCTTTGTAGATCAAAAAAATTTCAAAGTAAATAAACCATCATCTTGTTCCTTGTAATGGTGATCTTTCTTTGCAGGCATCTTCTTTCTCATAATATTTTTTAAGTTTTAGTTTAATTTCCAGAGATCTGAATGGTAAAAATATCAAACTCATCAAATGCCTACTTAATTTATCCAGTAGGCATATATTTATATTAATAAATGTTAATATTAAAAGATATTTGACAGGGCCTGTATGCCCTTCAGTGTTCATAGTTGTTGTTAGGACATTGATAATGGTTTTGTCTTGGTCCAGGAAAATTTTGTATATAGAGTTCCACTATTAAACTGGGATATTTTCAGTTCATATCTGCTTGTTTGTAAGAATTATGGCTACAGTACTCATAGTGAGTAAGAGATTGTAACACAAAGCCTGGTAATAGGTTTCAGCTTCTTGATATAGAAAGATCACATTTTAGCATTGAGAGGCCATAGATCATAAATTTTGCACAGTGAAAAAAAAAAAAAGAGCCATCTGTGGCTTCTGTCCTCACTGCTGCCTTTCATGTACTTGAGATTCAACATGTCACTCTCCCTTTTTCTTTAGACTAAGCAAATGCAATTTATTCAGTTTTTCTTTGTAAGCCCTCTTTTTCTGTATAGCCGTTATTTTTGGTGTTCTCCTTTAGACTGTTCCCAGCTGATATATATCTTGAAGATTGGTGTTTGCTTGAGTTCTTGTTCAAGTGGTGCCAGGAATACAGGTTGTCCCTGCTAGTCAAGATCCCTGGAAGTAACCATTCTTTTACTTTTTTCTTGATAAGATTACAGAGTATTACTTCAGACAACTTAGTTTTATACATGTTTATAATAATGTACTTGTCTTTCTCTTTTTACCTCAGGATTTTCAGAGGCAAATTATTGGCACTTGAGTTTCCGCTGGTCAGGGGATGCTCCGTCAGAGCTTCTGAGGAAATTCAGAAACTATGAGATCTAAAAGTACACATAAGATCATCTGTTCAACGATTCAGTATTGTTTTTTCCAGCAGTTATAAGCTATTTGTATTTTGTATTGATGCATTGCGATGTGAACGTTGTTTGAATAAATGTTTTAATACTGGTTTGCTCACACATGATATGAGCATTACGGGTGGAGGTCTTTTTGTTTAATGAGCAAACTTAAGCAAAGCCCTTTTCAGTATTAATATGAAGTAATTTTGTGACGTTATGTAACATCCTATATATTGTTTCTTGTACTCTTAAATACTGTGTAGTGAATAATATTTTTCTTAATGCTGTGATGTTATGAAGAACATACTCTTGGTAGAATCAAAAGTCAATGTTAGACTCCAGCAAATGATACTATTATGTAATTATCTTCCAAAAGCCATATGACAATGAGCTTTAAACAAAACTGTGCTTATTTCTAAACTGTGTATTCTGGTTCACTTCTCCACTGCATTGTTCTTCCTGTAGTGATTTATAGTGCACACATGCCTAATACTGTTACAAACTTAATCTGTTGGAGAATTGTGATCTTACAGTATGAATTAAATAAGAAGGTTCTTATTATTCAGGAAGGTCACCGTGATAGATCAAGCACTCCTAGAAATCCCTTCACTTTCTAATTTGTTAAGCAAGTATACTTTTTGCACCAGCTATTTATTGTGGAAGGCAGTTTCTGAACTTCAGTTCTCCAGTTAGCAACTTTCTTCTTAAGATTTATTGGTGAACAGCTAATACCCCTGGTGTGTGTGCCAGCATTGGCCTGCCTGAACCTAGAGACCGTTTCTCACACTGTGGCTTAATATTAATTTACCTCCTGGCTCTGGCTGGGTAGACAGGGTCTTATCGAGGTTTTGTATGGTGAAGAATGAAGAATCAGGCTAGTCAGCATTAATATGTTTTCCGTATTTTGGACGACTTTTCATATTCTACATTGTTTATTTTCTTCTTTGTAAACCCAGATAATGTGTTGGGTATTGACATTGTATTTTTGTGCAGGCAAGTAATTCCATCAGCAACAAATAAAACCGCATGCATACAAAAAGGGGTTGTTTTCATTTTTTGTTAAATTAAAATCCTCTGCCCACCACAGAGATCCCTTTTGAATTTCTTATTTGTACCTGCAGTGGTTAAAAGCTTAAGGGAGTCCAGTTATGAAAGCAAGAGGAAGCTGTGCAGCCTGTTTTGCTTTTGGGAAAACATTGGTGAGACCTGACCTGTTGGCCAGTAAGAACATTTAACTGGAGTAACTGGGATGCCCAGTTCTCCCTCACATTAGTAATAAAAGAAATAAGCTGATAAATCAGTCTGTTAGCTGATTCAGGGTCTACCTCCCAAGTTTGAACTGCGTTTTTTCATTTTTATTATTATTACTATTTTATTTTAAATACATAGTATTTTTAGAAGTTTTCTGCAAGTAGCATAAAAAGATCCAGCAAAAGCCCCATTATCCACAATAACGTGTGCCTTGGCCTCTGCATTGGTAAGCACATAACATGCTTAATATGCTTAAATACTAATTGAAGCAGGGGTTGTAAGGTGGATCTCTAAAGCTCTGTGAAGATGTGATTAAGAGGCAAGAGTTAGGTACACGCAGCTTTTCAGTGGCAACAGAAAATTTAACTTTCTTTGCAAAATGGAGACTGCTGCATAAGGGACAGTTGTGGGGTGGGGAACAACAGCAACAAAGCAGATGCTATGTATTAGAAGTATCTAAAGTTGGAGAAAGAGGGCTGCTACCTGTAAGGGATGGCAAGGTCCCATTTTCTTCTTTAGCACTTCTTCTGAGTTATTTAGCTAGGTAGCAAAGGGTTCTGAACCTTCTGGATACCTGAGGAGTCTGACTTGGAGTGTGCTTTCACTACGCAGTGACTGAGCATTAACATGCTTGAGTGCTTTGTTAGCTGTAGCTCCAAATGACTTGGCATAGATTGGTATGAAAATAAGCACACCTGTGAGGTGCGCCTAGTTCCTCTGAAGTCTGGTCAAAAGTATGGATTAAACTTGGCTGTAACTGGACATTAGTGAGGGCTAATGATATTTCAGCCGGAAGTTATGAGGTAGCAGATGGGGGTACAAGTAGATGATGACAATAAAATACAGAGAATAGGGAATGTTGTTTAATACTGTTTCTAGGTCTCTGAAACTCTGTCAATCAATTTTGTAATACTAAAAATAAGCAAATATTTAGCCAGCTGTTTGCAATGAAACAGAGCAGCTCAAGGGGAGGGGATGTTCTTGAATTGTATAAAATCAATATATTTTTTAATTACTGCTGTCTGTTTTTATGCAAAATGCTGAAAATGTAGGATTGACAATGTTCTAGTTCTACACAAGCTTTTTATTTTGCCAGTATTTGCCAAGTTGTTTTGCCAGTGTTTCCCAAGTGGCAATATAAGAGTTTGAAGTTTTGATGATGAATACAGATAGTATATGACTTGAAATCTCAGGCTGAATAATGCTTAATGATAGGTAAGGTCATTTCCTGAATGCCTGTTTTCCTCTTTGAATGGGGGTGGAGGACAGGGGGAAAAAAAGGCAGTATATATGTTCTGTAATAGAAGCAAGTATCCTGATGATTAAAAGAGATAGTGGGTAGTTTTAATTTCCTGAGCACGAACATTGCTATCTTACAGTTTCATATCTGAAATGAGAGACAGGACTGCTGGGAAGGTAAGCAGTGAAGCTGTTGTGAGGCTGATAAAATTACATAGCAAAAGATAAAGCAATTCACTAAGTCAGCCTCTGTCATTGTCAGATGAGGTGATATTTATCAGTTAGTTTATGCTGGGTATTTTTATTGCAACCCAGTGTACGTGCTCATCCTGCTGTTATAAGAGGTACCGAGCCTCCCCCGTAATGGGAGACACTGTGTATGTTTGTTCTTTCACCTTCAGTTATTAGTCTTTTCTTCCGCCCATGTTAATGAAGATGAGGCTCTTCATGTATTTTTTTTGTCCCAGATTTGAAAGGCTTGTGGCTGAGTCATTAGGATAGTGCACAATACACACTGGGAACTTTTACACATTTTATGTCTCTGATGGATATCCTAACCTGTCACAGGTGATGGATGCTGGAGAAAACAAATTTTCTTTCCTCTTGATTCTATCCTCACGTGGTTTGATCTTGTTCCCTTCTTCTGGTGGGGCAGTAAGGAAGAGGGGTTACTTCTAGAAGAAATTTGCTGCCAGTGTTTGTTAGGTTTCCAGTCTTGATGTGCTTTGGACAAAATGATTTGCTTGTTTCTTTGTCAAAACTGTTTCTCCAAAAATATCAAAGGACTCTTGGCACCAAAGGGAAACATCTTTCCTAAGGAGATGGATGCAGTTTGACTATCAGGCGTTAATCCTTACAGAAACTACATTTATTTTGCCAGGATTGTCAGAGCTGATCCTTCACTGGCAGTAATTTCCGTGGAGCCCCCAAGGGGAGGACTGTCAGCTTCTCCTCATAAGCAACTTTGTGTGAATAATATTGATGGGATCAGGTGGGGCAGGAGGATGAGCAGAAAGTTCCAGAGGAGTAAGAGACTGTGCCAGATGGTTGGACCTGGGTGCTTTTGGTGCTTTCTACTACTTCCAGTCCTTGCTTTCAAAGTCTTCCCACGTCCATCCTTGGCCTGCCACTGCCAAAGGACTAGGCTGCTTGCTTTAGTGTGGATAGCTGATGATGCAAGGGAACTTGACATCTTGAGCATCTCTTTGTTTAGCTGTCTGGAGGCACCTTGATCCCTAACGGTACTGTGCAGTGAGCCTGAGCCAGGTTTGGGGAGGAAAATTGCACTGAGGGGCAGAGATGGTACATGTTGGTATGCATGGGCTCAACATGGGTTAAGCCCAAATGCACCTTTCGGGGTCTGTACTCCAGCACCAGAGTTATTACTGCCTTGCTCTTTCTCAGTGTTATACCTGAGGTTTAAAAGGGAAGCAGATCAGGACAGTACTACTTTAACTCTTTGTTATAAAATGGAGATGAAAGTGATAGGTGTCAAGAGGAGAGCACTGAACTCCAAACACTAGTGTTACTGATGCATATGTAGCTTTAGTTGGCCTTTTAGCAGTCCTTACTTTCTTCTGGAATTACAAAGAATTATTGCAATTAAAACCATATGGTTCTTTAGTGCTTTCATGGAAACATTTTAATAAATCTTGCTGAAGGGTGAGGGTGGAAAATAACTTTTTTGTTTGCTTATTTTTGTGGCTGCTTTTTTATTTTTCAACTGCAAATTTTAAGGAAAATCAGTTTCAAGGAGAAAAGGTTCATTGAATGCAAATACATCCTTAGAGGAGATTTTTGCTACTTTTCCAACAGCCTGCTTTTCAACATAAAATTCAAAATAACCACATATTTTGGTGTCAGTCATTTGACATTTTCATTCCCACAAAGCTCCAGTGAAAAGGACATTTTGAAATTGCGGAATTCCTAATAATATTTACTGGGTTGGTGCTTTGTCTTCAGATCTGCTGAAGCAGTGAAACATCTTTTGGAAATAAGACTGAATGGCCAGTAAAAAACCTGGCAACTTCTTCAGAGATGCAGTGAAAAAGAAGGGCTTAGTGCAAAGCTTGCCCACTCTGTTTAGTATTTTGACTCTTTTCTTTTTATTAATTTGGAATGTTACCTAAAACTGCATTACACAGTTTCTCTCATCTGTTCTAGATTACAGGCACGGGTGGGACCTATTGCTGCTTTGATACTGCTTTTATTTCTTTACAAAAGCAGGGGAGGAGTACATAGGTGTAGCCTAATGAGTTGCAATCGGATAAATACCATATTCCTTGGTGCAGAAGCATGTTTAGTAGTGAAAGAAGACATGACGAATAAAATCTCCACACAAAAAAATCTAACCCCCACGGGGCCGCAGCGAGCAGGGTTCGAACCTGCGCGGGGAGACCCCATTGGATTTCAAGTCCAACGCCTTAACCACTCGGCCATCGCTGCTGTTGGTATCAAATCCTCTGGGCTGAAATCCTTACCCAGTGTTCCGGCGGCGGAAGTTCTGCCTCCAGCCATGCGAGGAGCCAATGGGCACCGCCGCGTCTCACGGCTGCTCGCCCCCGCGCGCCGTCGTGGCCGCCTCGCAGTAGCAGTGGCGTTGCAGAGGACGGGTGTACACTGTATCTCAGCCGTGCCCGGTTAGAGGGAACTGCGGGAGTGCGTGCCGGTGGATTTGAAAGTACTGTTTGAGTGTGGGGAAGCAGACGTGTTAGCAACCACTGTCACCTTTTAAATTTCCTTTCTTTCTCCCCAGTTAAAAGAATTCCATTCTGCTAAGTACCGTGAGGCTTTAGGCAGCTGAAATTAGCGCCATCTTTCATACAGTAATTTTTTCACTGCTATAAACGATCAGTTCTTGCTGTTGAGAAGACAGCCGGTGCAGTTCACTGTACTTTTTCCAGAGTACGGAGTAACTTGACTGAATTACTCATGCAGCTTTTCAGCTCAGGAAAAAATAAATGTCACTTTATATGCTGCTAGGGTTTTCAACCTAAAACGTAAAGACTGTGCTCCTGCAAATTCTGCCTGGGAATGTTTGCAGGCACGCTTGGATTTGCTAGTTTGAATGCAACCAGTTTGTGCTACAAAATCAAGTAACTATCAGGCATTGCATTCATTTTTACAGTGGTGCTGTAAATACCTTTCCTGGTTTTACTGTTCTGTTCCTCAGCTATAACAAGAATTCTGTTGTAACTTTTATGTGTGATTTCATTCACTGTGGTGGTGTTTTGTTTTTTTTTACCCTAGCAATAGTTAATTGTGTCAGGAGTAGTATAATGAAAATTAAATCTTACTTGACTTTATATAAATGCTGCAGTGGATACAAATAATTTCCCTTTTCATCCCTTCAGTTTGCTTATGCTAGGAATTTTACCCTATTTCCCTTTCTAGAGTCACAGTTTTTGTTAACACTTTTTTTTTTTTTAATTTAATAGCTGAAGGGATGTTGATGATTGTGCTTCTCTTCCCAGCCATCCACCCCATTTCTGTTTTCTAGGTGGGTTTTTTTGTTTTGTTTTGTATGGGTTACTAATTAAGAAATACTCT